TTCAATGCTATTCTATAACATAGTCTGATAAATTCTGATATGCTGTTATACTACCTTTCAGAAAGTTAACAGTACATGTTATAATTCTAGTATATCAAATACATAACAAAATTACCATTACTACATGAATGAATGAACCATTCATTAAAATTAACACATGAAGAATTACGCCTTATCATACAATTGAAACTTGGAATAAAAGTAAAACAAAACTAAGTAACAAAAACTATGTTGCAGTATAATAATTACTTTTCAAAATTGAAGAGTTAAGGGGAAGGACATTCTTGTGAAATTTCCAGATGATGATGATGATGATGACTACTGCATAAACAATCTCTATGAGAGAGATAAACTGTTCTCTTGAATCCAAAAGCATGTATCTTGGCCATCTAATATTAACTATTTGCATAAGTGGTGGCATATTCAAACAGCTCAACTGTAGAGCAGCTGCTTAACAGTATTGCATAGTTGATGCCAATAAATTGCTGAAAGTTGTAAACTCTGCAAAGATGTTGGCAAGAGGACACATAGATAGCATTTCTTGATGAAAATAGCTTTGACAAGCATAATGCAAACTATGTGCTCCAATGGAGGTTAAATGGAAGTGCTTTTATACAGAAATAACTAGGAAGTCATATAACTGTGCATCTCTCTTGAAGTAACACAAGGTGGACACCAGCTTTGTTTGAAACCAAATACATATTTTGGATATTTAAACTTCATTCATTTATTTATTGAGATGGAGGCTTGCTCTGTTACCCAGGCTGGAGTGCAGTGGTGTGATCTTGGCCCACTGTAAACTCCACTTCCTGAGAATCAAGTGATTCTCCTGCCTCAGCCTCCTGAGGGATCATGGGCATGTGCCACCATGCCCAGCTAATTTTTGTTTTCAGTAGACATGGAGTTTCACCAGGTTGGCCAGGCTGGTCTCAAACTCCTCACCTTGGGTGATCCACCCACCTCGGCCTTCCAAAGTGCCGGCCTTAATTAAACTTCATTTAAAAGGATTTTTTTTTTTTTTTTCTGAGATGGAGTCTTGCTCTGTTGCCCAGGTTGGAGTGTAGTGGCACAATCTTGGCTCACTGCAACCTCTGTCTCCCAGGTTCAAGTGATTCTCCTGCCTCATCCTCCCCAGTAACTGGGACTACAGGTGCACACCACCACATCCAGCTAATTTTTATATCTTTAGTAAAGACAGGGTTTCACCATGTTGGCCAGGCTGGTCTCACACTCCTGGCCTTGGGTGGGTGCGAGCCACTCCACCTGGCCCTCCCCTCCCCTCCCTTCCCGTCGCTTCCCTTCCCTTCCTTCTTCTTTTTTTTTTTTTTTTTTTGATGGAGTCTTAATTTGTTGTCCAGGCTAGAATGCAGTGGGGCTCACTGCAATCTCTGCCTCCTGGGTTTGAATGATTCTCCTGCCTCAGCCTCCTGAGTAGCTGGGAGTACAGGCATGCACCACCACGCCCGACTAATTTTTGTATTTTTAGTATAGTCGAGATTTCACCATGTTAGGCAGGCTGATCTCGAACTCCTGATCTCAAGTGTTCCACCCACCTCAGCCTCCCAAAGTGCTGGGATTACAGGCATGAGCCAATGTGCCTGGCCGGGTATTTTTTAATAAAGCATTTTATGATGGAAATTTTCAATGACACAAAAAATGGAAGGCACAGAATACTGAGTCTCTAGTTTCCACTGCCCAAATTCAATTATCAATATTTGGTCAATATTTTCTTTTTCAAATAGCATTCCTGAGATATAATTCACATATCACATAGTTCCTCCATTTGAAATGTACAATTCAATGGCTTTTAGTAGATTGGCAGACACATGCAACAATTACCACGGGCAATTTTAAAACATTTCCATCACCTCAAAACAAACAAACAAACAAACAAACAAAAAAACCCAAAACCCAAGAAATTCTGATTGCTTTAACTATATCCTTCTATCCTGCCATGCCCCTACCTCTCTAGCCCTAAGCTGTCACTAATCAATCTACTTTCTGTCCTTGCAGAATTCCCAGTTCTAGACAGTTCCCAGGAGTGGAATCATATACAATGTGCTTATTTTGTGACTGGTTTCTTTCACTTAGTATGTTTTCAAAGTTCATCCATGTTGTAACATGTACATTAGTACTTCCTTCTATGGAAAAATAATATTCCACTGCATGGATATATCAAATTTTGTTTACTCATCAGCTGAAGGACATTTGAGTTGTTTCCACTTTTTGGTTACTATGAATAATGTTGCACTTACAAATACTGACACGTTTTGAAACAGTGAAAAATTTTGTGTGTAAATTTGTGTGGACATGTTTTAATTTCTGTTGTGTATACACCTGGGTGTAGAACTGCTGGGTTATATGTTTAACTGCTTGAGGAACTACCAGGATTGTTGTGTCAACACTGTTTTATCTATTTCTAACCAGATTTCCCCCCTGACATATATTAACACTTATTCCAGATCTCAGATAATTTCCTGTTCTTCTTCTTTTTTTTTTTTTTTGAGATGGAGACTCACTCTGTCACCCTGGCTTGATTTCAGTGGCATGATCTTGGATCAGTGCCACCTCCGCCTCCGGGGTTCAAGCGATTCTCCTGCCTCAGCCTCCCCAGTAGCTGGAATTACAAGAGTGTGCCACCACATCTGGTTCACATTTTGTATTTTTAGTAGAGACGGGGTTTCACCTGTTGCTCAGGTTGGTCTTGAACTCCTGACCTCAAGCGGTCTGCCCGCCTCAGCCTCCCAAAATGCTGGGATTACAGGTGTGAGCCACCATACCTGGCCTCAGATAATTTCACTTGTAAATACCTAAGTAGGAATTTTTAACAGATAAAGATTTTTTAAAATAGCAAAATATCATTATCCTTTTTAAACAACTAAAAATAGTTTAAAAGAAAATATAACTTTAATTCAAAGTCATCCATTCTATAAGTGCTAAACAAGAATTTTAAACTACTATTAAAACAAATTTAATGTATTATTTTTTAAAAAGTTATTTTGAATGCAGTACCACTATAGTCCAAATAAAGGACAAAACAGACTATGTATGGCAAATTGTCAGAGAAAATAGTATTAATATCAGAAACTGCAAACTGCTGTTATGTACAGCCCCTCAATCTCCCCATCTAAATACCTGCTTCCATATGCAGGCTAACACCACCCTGGGATTGTCTCTTTGCCTCAAAAGAAGTATACACAAATTTTAGGTCTGGAGGAAGAAAGGGGACAGAAGTGAACATTCACTGAGTATCTACAATGTGCCAGGCTTTGTGCTGAGTATCTTTCATAATAATTTAATTCGGCCAGGTGTGGTGGCTCACGCCTGTGATCCAAGCCTTTTGGAGGCCAAGGTGGGCGGATCACCTGAGGTTGGGAGTTCAAGACCACCCTGACCAACATGGTGAAACCCCGTCTTTAAAAATAATAATAATAGCCGGGTGCGATGGCTCAAGCCTGTAATCCCAGCACTTTGGGAGGCCGAGGCAGGTGGATCACGAGGTCAGGAGATCGAGACCATCCTGGTCAACATGGTGAAACCCCGTCTCTAGTAAAACTACAAAAAATTAGCTGGGCATGGTGGCGCATGCCTGTAATCCCAGCTACTCAGGAGGCTGAGGCAGGAGAATTGTCTGAACCCAGGAGGTGGAGGTTGCGGTGAGCTGAGATCGTGCCATTGCACTCCAGCCTGGGTAACAAGAGCGAAACTCCATCTCAAAAAAAAAAAATAAATAAAAAAAAATAATAATAATAATTTAATTCACCCTCAAATACCCAGAGATAGATATTACTTTAACTTGGAAGAGAAGAAACTGAGGTCAGGCATGGTGGCTCGCGCCTATAATCCCGGCACTTTGGGAGGCCAAGGCAGGTGGACTGCTTGAGTCTAAGAGTTTGAGACCAGCCTGGGCAACATAGCAAGACCCCATTTCAAAAAAAAAAAAAAAGAGAGAGAAATAAAAAAAATTCTAAGTAAAAAGAAGGCTCAAGAAATTTAACCATGTTCATTTAGTTACTAAGAAGTAAACTAGGATTCAAATTAAGGTCTTTCTGGGGTCAAAGCTATCATTATTAATACAATAATGCAGATACCTTCTATCAAGGTCTGTGATACACACAATTTCAGGTTTGGAAAAGATCTTCAAGTTATTTAACCCAACCTCTCTATACAATTAAGAAATCCCCTCTGACCATATGGCCACCTAGCTCAGGCTTGAAAAATGAAGACAAATTAGCTATTAATCTAGGTTTTCCTTACTCAACTATAAAACCAAAACACCCTCCCTTAAAAAAAAAAAAAAAAAGTAAAATGACCAAACAGGATGTATCTCCTCATAACATCTAGCCTTTGGTTTTAATTCTGGACTTTGGAGACATGTATAACAAGCCTCTTACTGCCTGTTTTACATGGCTACTTTGAATTTCTTATCTTTCACCAAGCCTTATCTTCTCCAAATATCCCCAGTTTCATTCATCTCTCTTATGACTGAATTCTTCCATCATCCTGTTTTCCTTACGTTGAAAATTTTGGGCCTAGAATAGAATAAAGAAAGAAGTACTGACTAGAGTAGAGCAGGTTTATCTACTCCTTATTCTAATACATTTAAGATGACAGAAACAGTTTTGGAGCGATACCCTATCTGTGACTGAAGGCTTAGTGAGAGCTCATGCTTTTACACGAATGAAAGCAAAAGACAGACAACTGGGCTGTTATAGCCTCCGGGAGATAACTAATCACCTGAAACATTCTTTCACGATCATGGATATAATCTTAGGGTAATTCTCAACAGTGATCCAGGTAGAAGGTATTACTAACACACTGAAGTAGGTTCCTGAAATTAAAATCTCCTGCTATTGTTGACTTAAAACAGGAGAGTGGCTCCAATACAAGAAAATGGAAATAAAAAACAAAAACAAAAAGCCAAAAAAAAACTCAGAAGCATGGGAACTTTGATTCTGCTCTGACTGGCTCATCTCATTACTGATTACCATGGACTTCTCACTACTTGCCTCACTTTGCTTTCTGACATTCATGTTCTCTTGATGCCTGGCTTTTTGACCAAGTGCATCGCCTTCCCTTATATTAACAGTAGTCATCTGGTTGCTGTCTAGTTTCTGGCTGTTACTTTTTTATTAAAACATTTTCTTCTCTCTTCTTTTGTTTTATTTTGTTTTTATGATAGGGTCTCACTCTTGCCCAGGCTGGAGTGCAGTGGTGCAAGCACAGCTCACTACAGCCTTGAACTCCAGGGCTTAAGCAATCCTCCCACCTCAGCCTCCCATGAAGCTGGGACTACAGGCACAAGCCACCACATCTGGCTAATTATTTATTTAAAAAATTTTTTTTATAGAGACGGAATCTCATTATGTTGACCAGGCTAGTCTACAACTCCTGGGCTCCAAGCAATCCTCCTACCTTAGCCTCCCAAAGTGCTGGGATTACAGGTGTAAGTCACTGTGCTGGGCCTCGGCCTTTACTATTTCAGTATTATCTGATGGGTTTTGATGTATATTCTTGTTGATTTTCAGCATCAGCGTCAGACTTTAAACCCTATCCTCCACACAGAGCAGAGTGTGACACCCTCTAGCGCCTGTACCTTCTCCATGTTGTATTCCAGCCTTCTCTTAGTGTCAGCTCCTTGATATGGGATCAGTGACTTGCTAAGTTTACAACAAAATATTGCCAATATGATGCCTAACAGAATTATGACTATAATTATCTCATATAATTGTTAGTATTTTCTCCTGGCCACCATATATTTTCAGAGACTTATTTTACAGCTTTGTCGTTTTTGTGTGTGTGTCTCCTTAGGTCTCAGAGTTTTCGGTTTGTTATAAGCTACTGCTATTCTAAAACAGTGATACAAACACAGGGTTAGAAATGATAGCCAGAGAAGTCATTTACTTGTTCCTTACTGATTAAAAAAAAGGTCAGACAAATGTACTTATAATTTAACAGAAAACACATCACAAGCTTCCAAAATGTAACGGGAAAAATACACATTTCATTCTTAAAACAAACCAACCAACCTAAAAAATGCTAGGTCTATACGTTACGTAATAGATGTGAAAAGGTGATATAAAAAGTTAAATGGGTATATATGTACAGATAACATATTTTTATGATGAGCTATTATTAATATATTGCCTCACATAAGACTGAAAGTTACTTGTAGGACATAACAAATATATTTGTAATTTAAAAGAAGATGATGAAAAGATTAAAGAAGTCGCCAAAAACCAAAACAATTCTGACATAGTTCTATTAGGTTCTGTACAAGTCTATACAAACATAGTGGTCCAGAGAGTACAATCCAAAGGAAATTCAAATGTCTTTTATACAACTCAAAACTGAGGAGAATTAACATTTTACAGAATGAACAACTGTGATTCAGTTGCTACCTCTGTGAAATGGGTGTAAGACTGAGCTGTTGTGAGGCTTAAATAAAATAAATGAATATAAAAAAAATAAGGTAATATATCAACATTAAATACACTTATTATTTACTGAAAAGTTTGTATTTTGGGCAAAAAGCCCAATTCCCTTTTGAATACTAGAAAAAGGCTACTTCTCGGTAGAGATGACTCATTTAAAACTTTTCCTTCCTCTGATTCCTTATTTCCAGATACACTTGGTTGAAAGCAAATCGTAAATAGTCCCTAAGTAGGGCAGTATAACATAATTCATCTGAAAGCATTTTAGAGTTTAATATAAAAAGATTATAAAAATTCAAGATATTATTCTTACTGTTAAAACAATAGCTTTTGCTTTATCATAAAGTATGTGTGTAAATTCAACATCTGCAGTAATTTTTGCGATATTTTATCCCTTAAATTTCCTCAGACCTGAATTCACACACCCTTACATGGAAAAAAAAGCTTTATAAAAACTTTATAGGGAAAATATGACTTGTATCCTACATGTGTGTTTTTGGTCTTTACTATAATAATAATCTTTCTTTAAAATACTCATTTATATCCAACAAATTGAAAACAAAAATTTAACTTGAGCACCACTATGATGAGAAATGTATGTATGAATCTGAGAAACAAGTATATTTTCATTGAAAGAAAAATTAATTTACCCACTCGGTAGTTTTTTTTTTTTTTTTAACCATTCTGACTGTAAAATTTAACTACCTAAGTATGTAAGAAAAACATGTAAAAAGATACTCTTAAGAAAATTTCAAAACAGTTAAGTACGAACCAAAAGAGTGACATACATAAAGAAAAATGCAATTTGTTGGAACTTCTTATGAGGTGGATTGCCTAAGGGGCACTTGGGATGCTGAAATGTCCCTGAAATCTTCCGAGAAATCACAAAGAACATATGAGTTAGAATCCGGGAACATAAACATACCATAAAAGAATGATAATTATACTGTAATTTCACTTTTAAGAAACCTGGCTAACTGTAGGGTTTGTTTTCTTTTCACTATATGGCATATACTGCTGTAAGCAGCTAGTTATCCAGGATAATAAAAATTAGTCCAACATTCAGGTAAGTGTGGGGCCTTGCACATTCTAGGTACTTAGTAAGGAGTGGTTAATTAATTTTGGTTAAATACTAACTGAAATGACTGTAGACCCTGAGAGATGTTATTGACAAAAACAGTGAATGAGAGGGTAGAAGATATCCCAGGTCTCAGAAACAAATTTTTCTTTCTTTCTTTTTGTTTTTTGATACAGAGTCTTGCTCTGTTGCCCAGGCTGGAGTGCAGTGGTGCAATCATGACTCACTGCAGCCTTGACCGCCTGGGCTTAAAGGATCCTCCCACAACAGCTTACCGAGTAGCTAGGACAACAGGTTTGTGCCACCATGCCCAGCTCATTTTTTAAAAAATTATTTTGTAGAGATGGAGTCTTGCTACGTTGCCGAGGCTGGTCTCAAATTCCTAGACTCAAGTAATCCTCCTACCTTGGCTTTCCAAGGTGATGGGATCAGAGGCCTGAGCTACTGTGCCCAGCCAAAACAGATGTTTTATATTCCACAAATATATATTATTGTGTATAAGTGTGATAACCATTGAGGTTGCTGTGCCTACAATTACCATCTCCAAGGTTTTAGGAGTAGCTCTATTCTAGACAAATCTTTCGGATATGACTTCCTATGGCCTACTTTCAGACAGATCTCAAAAACTGTTCATGGATATAGGAGAGCTTCTGTGCTTTCTTCAGCTAAAATAGTATTAGTATCAGAGTGACACTTATTTTTTGGATGACAGTTTCTAAAGCTTCCTATTTGACAGCTTTATATTATTGAAGATTGAAAAGAACCATTAGTTTAACAAACATTTGAATGAGTACTTATTATCTGCTAAATATTGTGCTACAGGCTAAGATACAAAAAGGAATTTGTCAATCTAATGGCAAGACAGATGCATAATTATACAGTAATATGAACATTAACAGAAACATTTAAAATGTTACAGGAATGAGGCAGAAAAGGGTATGTTTTTCTTTGTTGAGTTAGGGAAGAATTTATAAAGGATAGATAATTTATTTTTATTTTTTGGTTTTTTTTGAGACAGAGTCTAGTTCTGCCACTCAGGCTGGACTGTAGTGTGTGATCACCACTCACTGTAGCCTCCACCTCTCAGGCCCAAACAGTCCTTTCACCTCAGCCTCCTGAGTAGCTGGGACTATAGTTGTGTACCACCAAGCCTGGCTGATTTTCATATTTTTTGTGGAGATAGTTTCATCATGTTGTCCAGACTGGTCTCAAACTCTTGAGCTCAAGCAATCTGCCTGCCTTGGCCTCCTAAAGTGCTGGATACAGGCAGGAGTCACCATGCCCAGTCTCAAACGATAGATAATATTTGAAAAGACCCTTGACACAGAAGGAAAAGAGGAAAGGCAACTACATTTGTTGAGTTCCGTTACATTCCAGGAACACTGCTATATTAATTCTCATAGAACCCTACAAAGTAGATGTTACCTTTATTTACAGATGAGATAACCGAGTTTAGAGGGGTGAAATTATTGTCTCAAAAATGCATTGCTATTAAGTGCCAGAGCTGGGATGTGAACACAAGTCTTGTCTGTCTGACTGCTGGCTTTCTCCATAGTATTTCAAAATGTACAAGACATAAGAAGTATAAAGGTAATGCCAGCCTTACAATTTAATGAGAGGCTGGGCGCAATGGCTGACGCCTGTAATCCCAGCACTGTGGGAGGCCGAGGTGGGCAGATCATGAGGTCAAGAGATCGAGACAATTTAATAAGAGAGTTGAACATATTTATACGTACATATAGTAGAAAGTAGAATGTAATTCTGGATCAGTCTAGTTTCCATTTTCTCTGTGTTTACACCTAGGGTGCTGAGTGCTGCTAAAGAAAAATTACACAGAATGGTATTACTATAAGTACATAACATTTCAGCTTGGCAATTCTTTTTTTTTTTTTTTTTTTGAGATAGATTATCTCTCTGTCACCCAGGCTGGAGTGCAGTGGCGTGATCTTGGCTCACTGCAACCTTCGCTTCCCAGGTTCAAGCGATTCTCCTTCCTCAGCCTCCTGAGTAGCTAGGACTACAGGCACGTGCCACCATGCCCAGCTAATTTTTGTATTTTTTAGTAGAGACGGGGTTTCACCATGTTGGCCAGGATGGTCTCGATCTCTTGACCTTGTGATCCACCTGCCTCAGCCTCCCACAATGCTGGGATTATATGCGTGAGTCACTGTGTTACTGTGCTGGTCTTTTTTTTTTGGAGACAGAATCTTGCTCTGTTGCCCAGGCTGGAGTGCAGTGGCAGGATCTCAGCTCACTGCAACCTCCACCTCCTGGGTTCACGCGATTCCCCTGCCGCAGGCTCCTGAGCAGCTGGGACTACAGGCATCTGCTACCACGCCCGGCTAATTTTTGTGTTTTTAGTAGAGATGGGGTTTTACCATGCTGGTCTCCAACTGCTGGCCTCAAGGGATCCGCCCACCTTGGCCTCCCAAAGTGCTGGCATTATAGGTGTGAGCCACTGCATCCGACTGGTAGAAACTCTTGATCTTATGCCCCTTCCTCAATTGTCCTACCTTTTCTTCTTCAAATATTTAAGGAATGCCTATTTTTCCTCTGACTACAATTCACTGCAATCTAATTTTTAGCTCCACCTCCATTAAAATTGCTTTAGCTTTTTTTTTTCTTTTTTTGAGAGGGCTGTCACCCAGGCTGGAGTGCAGTGGTGTGATCTTGGCTCACTGCAACCTCATCTCCTGGGCTCAAGAGATTCTCCCAGATCCTCCCACCTCAGCCTCCGAAGTAGCTGGGACTACAGGTGCGTGCTCCCATGCCTGGCTAATTTATGTATCTTTTGTAGAGACGGGGTTTCACCATGTTGGCCAGGATGGTCTTGAACTCTTGAGTTCGGGCGATCTGCCTGCCTCAGCCTCCCAAAGTGCTGGGATTACAGGCATGAGACACTGCACCTGGCCCTTTAGCATCTTATTAAATCCAAATGACTCTTTAAAAAAAATATTTGGCCAATATTTTTTTGAGATAGATTCTTGACAACACTGTCACTGCTGACAACTGCCTCTGTTATGAATGGTTGTCCCTGGGCTTTAGGAACTACTCTTCCTGATGTTCCTCACTGATGCCGGTCACTCTTCACTCTTCTTTGTGTAAGCGCTTTTTCCTATGTTCTTCCCTTAAATGCTGATCCTCAAAATTCTGTCATAGGCCTTTTTCTGTTCTCACTCTATACAGTCTCACTAGTTCATTTACTCTATTTCCACATAAAGTAACATCTTTATGTTGTGATTTTCAAATTTCTATTAACAAATCAATTTTCTTTCTTGGGCTAAAGAACCTACATTTCCAACTCTCTAGTGTATATATCCACTTAGATATTTTCTTGAACTTTTCTTCCCCAAACCTCTTTCTCCTGGGTTCTTTGTAGCACTACCAAAGACACCAGCCAAAAATCTAGGCATCAAGTCTCATTCCTCCTCTCTCCATCAGACCCTAATGTACTCAATCATCAAGCCCTGTGATTATGCTTCTTAAATAGCTTTCAAATTGGTCCATTTTTGTCTCACCCCATCATCGCCAATCTAGTTCAAGACACCACCATCACTCACTGAAATACCGGAATAACTTCCTAAGTGGTGTTCATCGTACACCCTGTTATACAGCTCCAAGAGCCATGAGAAAAGGGCTTCTACATCAGCTTCTTACAACTAAGCTCAGTATTCTATTAGGCATTTGGCTATGAAAGACACTTTTTACTCTCAAAAGCTTATATTCTAAGGACACACAGATAAAATATACACAAAGAAAAGCAGAATTAGAATTTCCAAAGGTAATCAATAAATCTTGTTTCATTAAGGCAAAGATGAGTGGATACAAACAGATGAAAACTAAATGCAACTAATGAAGACTCCTGAGTGATAAGCTCAATAAAAAAGCCATTTTTTTTTTTTTTTTTTTGAGACAGATTCACCCTCTTTTGTCCAGGCTGGAGTGAAGTGGTGTGATCTCAGCTCACTGCAACCTCTGCCCCCAGGGTTCAAGCGATTTTCCTATCTTAGCCTCCCAAGTAAGTGGATTACAGGTGCCCGCGACCACACCCAGCTAATTTTGCATTTTTAGTAGAGAGGGGATTTCTCCATGTTGGTCAGGCTGGTCTTGAACACTTAGCCTCAAGCATTCCTCCCACCTCGGCCTTTCTGAGTCCTGGGATTACAAGTGTGAACCACTGCACTGAGCCCGAAATCACATTTCTTACACTCAAAATCTTTTCAAAATGAATGTTTTATCTGAAGTCCTGCTACTGTTATCTAACAGTGAGATCCTATCAGTTTATCTTTTCCTTTTACCTCTTTTTAAAATCTAGTTATTTAAGGTTTATATCTTATTTACACCTAAAAGGTCTTAATCCCAGTACAACTGAAACATTTTAGAGTAAGATAGATTATAACCCACCTGAAGGAAACAGAAAAAGTTATTTTGAAGCATGAAATGTGAAAGAGGAAAAGAAAGATTATAACACTTGGATAAAATATTCAGCTGAGTTTTCTGGCAATGAAAACAAAAAGGAAACACATTAAATTATGAAGTTTTCATTTTCTGAAAAAAAGAGGAATATAACTTCATCCATAGAGGCAAACATTTTCCTGGAATATAAGCAATAATTCATCATGAGGTTTTTTTTCTGTCTAAATGAGACTAAGAAAAAGAAAACATTAGTTTTGTTTCAGGAAAAAAATGAATTATTTTTAGATTTGACTATGTATAATCACAGTTGAGTTATTTAATTCTTATCAGCATCAGTTTCATCTCCAACAATGAGGACAATGATATCAGTAGACTGTAGTAAAGATTAGATTATGTCATTTATGTGGAGGAACTTAGTAGACTGCCTTAAATAGTTTTACAAAACCAAGAGAGATCACACTTTGTTTTGATCTTCTACAAAGGCAGAAGGCATGACATTAAATTGTACTTCAATAAATGACATTTTGTGAGGAGAGATATTTTGCCCTTTTCCCCTCATTCTGCTTTATGAACATTTTACTGAACACAGAGACAAAACCTGGGGAATTTAGATTGAAGAAGTGTATGGGCAGGTAGAAACTCTCAATTCAATTTCTGCACATTTTAAAGTCAGTATTTGCTGTGCAAATCCTTTAACCTAATATATTTACACAACACAGTTGAGCTTAGTCAGAAAAGGCAACCCAAAATATCCTGTTTCTCTTTACATCCACCTGCTGCTCATATTAATTCATTCTGAAATTAGCAGTCTAATATATTTTCTCTCAAAAAAGGTTAAGACTAAAAATCACCTAATATACTACTCATAGTTCAAGAAATACACAATTATAAGAAATCAATACACATTCCTGGAAATTGTCACACCACAACCTAACTCTTACATGAGAGGGGATACTTTTAAGCTAATATTTTTGAGGTTACACTAATATAGAAAATAAAAACTCTCTGTGGTCATGCCCAAATGTTTTTGAATTGTCAACCTAGAATTGTCCTACTTTTTTTCTTTTTCTGTTTAACACATTTTGGAACTATGTGAATGAACTGGTGATCTTACTTCATATTACAAGAACACATACAGTCTGATCACAACTAAGTGACACTGCTAAAAAAAGTTAGAGCTAGGCTGGGTATGGTGGCTCATGCCTGTAATACCAGCGCTTTGGGAGGCCGAGGCGGGCAGGCTGCCTGAGGTCAGGAGTTCAAGACCAGCCTGGCCAAAATGGTAAAACCCCACGTCTACTAAAAATACAAAAACATTAGCCAGGCGTGGTGGCATGCACCTGTAATCCCAGCTACTTGGGAGGCTGAGGCAGAAAAATTGCTTGAACCAAGGAGGTGGAGGCTGAGGTGAGCCAAGATAGTGCCACGGCACTCCAGCCTGGGCGACAGAGCAAGGCTTCGTCTCAGAAAAAAAAAAAAAACTCACAAAACGTAGAGCAAGAGCTGTCCAAAGCAAAAAAGAAAATGAGAATCTTTAAAGATTAAAACCATGATTGGTATTAGACAATTTTCCCAGGGTCTTGATAGGGTGAGGCAAGCTAGTGGCCTTGGGTGAAGAGGCAGTGGCTCCCAGGGGCCGTCCATGCTTTTTTGTTTTTCCCCTCCCCCTTCCCTCTGTCCATGCTTTTTGCACCACTCTGAGAGTAGCACCTCCTTACATCATGTGTCCTAGATGCCTTGCTTGCCTTACTCTAGTCCCAGCCCTGATTTTCATTTAAAAAAAAAAAAAAAAAAGAATTATTCTTATCCAACTGTTATATATTGACTACTATGAGAACATCAGCCTCTGAACAATCAGGTGAATAAATCAATCCTACAGACTCTTTGTTTCATCAAATAAATGTTCAAGTGAGTGGCCAAGCATTTCTGGGGGATCACACCAGCTGTTCTCTTTCCATATAAGCAGTTTGCAGAGGCCTTTACATGTGCATGTATGATCTAAGTTGGTAGTAAATGGTTTCTTAGAAAATGGTTAATAATATCAGATTTGTTTTACTAAGCTTTAATTTTTACTTTGCTTTAAAACAAAAAAAAGTTGCTTTTCTTTAGATGTTTGGTATCATCAAAAGCTATACAAGGTTAAATTATTAAAATATAATTGCTAAAATATATACTGTCAAATACATAAAAACTGACAATTATTTAAATATGCACCCATACAAACATCATTAATGTCACGTAGCAGTAGGCAATTAATGAGTAGTTTCATCTTGCTATTAAAAGTTTTGTCCTCCTTTCCTCCCTCCGTCCCTCCCACCCCTCCCTTCCTCCCTCTCTTCCTCCCTTCCTCTGTTTCCTCTCCTTCCCTCTCACTTTCCCTTCCTCTTTCTCTTTCTTTTTTAAGAGATACAGTTGCACTATGTTGCTCAGGCTGGAGTGCACTGGCTAGTCACAGGCGAGATCAGAGTGCACTACAGTCTCAAACTCCTGTGCTCAAGTGATCCTCCTGCCTTGGCCTCCAGAGTAGCTGGGACTACAGGTGTGTGACACTGTGCCCAGCTCTGCTAGTATTTAATATGCATGCTTAAACATATTTTCTTCTCAATCCACCAAGCAAAGTTTTTGGTCTTTATTTGGACTCATGAGTAATGTGATTCCAAGTGTTGGAACTGCTCATATATTTTTCAGTGTAGCACAACCCCTTAAAATCAGATGGGAATTGCCATTCTGGAAAAAAAATGTCATATCTAGCTTTATATAAAAAAAAATAGTTGATATAGCTGTATGGTCATCTGAAGTTTCTAAATATTTAATTTAAAAAACACTTGTGAGCCGGGCGCAGTGGCTCACACCTGTAATCCCAGCACTTTGGGAGGCTGAGGCGGGTCGATCACGAGGTCAAGAGATCGAGACCATCCTGGTCAACATGGTGAAATCCCGTCTCTACTAAAAATACAAAAAATTAGCTGGGCATGGTGGTGTGTGCCTGTAGTACCAGCTGAGGCAGGAGAATTGCCTGAACCCAGGAGGCGGAGGTTGCGGTGAGCCAAGATCGTGCCACTGCACTCCAGCCTGGGTAACAAGAGCGAAACTCCGTCTCAAAAAAAAAAAAAAAAACAATTGTGAAAATTCCACATAGTGAATGAACCAGGCTTCCACAGTGAAGAAACGATTACTTGAAAGCAGAATCCTAGGACATAAATGATAGTAGCAGTGATAGGTAAGGTCTAGAATGTCAGAACTCAGAAGGAAGAATAAATATCTTCAAGACAACCTTTTCATAGCTCTATAACCTGTTGTTAGATTGACTTATCTACCTAAATGTTGTAATTACAATCTAGTCCAGGGACACTTTCTTATCTTTTCAGCCATCACATAGAAGGCACCATTAAGAGAACTCACTGCAATGCCATTTCTCAGATAGAGACAATCCTTCAATTTTTCTGACACCATCTCCAGGATATGTATCTTTGAACTGCTTCCAGTAACAGTTTCCAGTTCCCCTCTCTCAACAATATTCTTCCAATAATTTCTTCCCAACATCTGGTATACTTCTCCCAGACTAGTATGAGCATACTCATAAACCAATGATCTGTTTTAAATGTTTCTTTCTCTGGCTGGGTGAGGTGGCTTATACTGTAATCCCAGCATTTTGGAAGACTGAAGTGGGAGGATCACTTGAGGTCAGGAGTTTAAGACCAGCCTGGCCAACCATGTTGAAACTTTGTCTCTATTAAAAATACAAAAATTAGCCAGGTGTGGTGGCATGCACCTATAATCCCAGCTACTCAGGAGGCTGAGGCACGAGAACCCCTTGAAACCAGAAGGCGGAGGCTGCAGTGAGCCAAGATGGTGACAGAGTGAGACTCTGCCTCAAAAAAACAACAAAAAAAACCCAAACCAGTTTATTTTTTATCAGAATAACAAAATGGGTAAGAAGATGGCTAAGATGTGACAGTGATAATTCAGAAGAAAAAAGACTTTGTATTAAAAATACCAATGGTTGGTGAGAACGCAAAAACAGTGGAACTCTCAGTCATCGTAAGGGGGAATGCAAAAGTACAGTAACTTTGGAAAATTTTGAGTTTCTTAGAAACTTAAACATACATCTACCACACAACCCAGTAATCATGTTCCTGAGTATTTACTCAAGAGAAATGGAAATTCAAGTTTATATTAAAATGTATACATAATTGTTTATAGCTATTTTATTTGGAGACATCCTCAAATGGAAACAACTCAAACGTCCATCAACTGTGAATAAACTAACAAAACTGTGTTACATCCATTTAATGGATTATTAACCAGTAATAAAAATGAAACAGATGACTAACATCTGCAACAATACAGATGAATTTCAAATGTATTATCATAACTGAGACAAGCCAGACTCAAAAGGCTATACACTGATAATTTCAGCTATATGGCATTCTGTAAAAGGTAAAACAATAGGTACAGAAAACAGGCCAGTGGTTGTTAGGGCTAGGGGTTGAGGAAAAGGGTCAACTAAAAAGGGGTAATGAGAGAATTTTTTGGAGTAATGGAACTATTCTATCTATTGATTGTGGTGCTGCTTACACAACTGTGTGCATTTGTCAAAAATCACAGACATGTATGCTAAAAAAGGTGAATTTTTTTCTGTGTATATTATACCTCAATAAACCTTACTTAAAGGAAAAAACAAAACAAAACAGGACTTATGTCTTAGTTACTAAGTTACTAACTGCCATGGACAAGCCACTCACGACTCATTTCTCCATCTATAAAATAGGAATTATATTTACTCTAAAAGAATTTTGGTGAGGGACAAAGGAAGAAAACAATTTTATGAACTTTAAAGCTCAGCACATATACTCTATATTATAGGTACTGGGATACACACTGATAAAGAAGACAGAGGCACACTAAGGAAATTAACTGTCTAGTTGCAGAACAAGATAAAACAGATTATTATTAAATAATATGGGGAAATTCAGTGACAGATATCAACAAAACAAGCAGGGGCATTCTAGGAATAAAAATTAACTCTAAGAAGTATATTACAAGTGGAATTAAAAAGGAAAGATTACAGTGAGATATAAATAAGTCATTCATGAACACGCACACCTGGAATCCAATAATTTTAACCTGATAGCAGTTTTAAAAAAGCCTAAAATGATTAAAATTATGACAAAATAGGAAAAATACCTCACGATGATTTAGAAGTTGTTCTAAATCTAATGCCATTTGATTCTTCATCTGTAGTAAAGCAGACTTTTCTTTATTTAAGTTGCTGAAAAAAAAAAAAACCCCAAGTTTAAAAAAGTCATTATGTTAGCGTAGATTTAGTTAATAAATGGTAAATAGCAAAAGATTAAACATGAATCTGATGGTTTGAATTAAAGACCAGCCATTATAATGTTTGGCCTAATGAATGGCCTATTTTGTCAGAAGACTCTTTTTTTCCCTTTTCTCTCCTTTCTCCTCTCCTCCCCCTCTCCTCTCCTTTTTCTTCCTTTCTTTTCTTTTATCCTTCTTTTCACCTTCTCTCTGTCTCTCCCTCTCTTTCTTTCTCTCTTTTGTTTAAGAGATGGAGTCTTGCTATATTGCCCAGGCTAGAATGCAGTGGCTATTTATAGACATGGTAACAATGAACCCCAGCCTCAAACTTCTGGGCTCAAGCAATCCTCCTGTCTCAGCCTCCCGAGTATCTGGGACTATAGGCATTCATCACTGTGCCCAGCTTTTCTTCTCTTAACAATCATTTGACAATGTTAACTGAGAGGCTGAGAATACTGTCCTGCCTAGTACTGGCATAAAATTAATGTGTTAAAGATGACGATTTACTACTAAACTGTAAAAAGATAAAGAAAGACTCACAAAAAAGGTAAAAAGTAGTATGTGTCTGCAAACTATGACAACACAAGATTAGAAGTCAAATTAAAACATTTATCCTTAAAACTGAAAGTAGTATTTTATAATTTACCACATACTAAATTACCAGGTATATAATTGAATTAGGTAAGTGAATCAGGTATTTAGTCTGTGGTAAACTTGAAAAAGGAATTTTTGTCTCGAAATTATTAGTTTGATTTTCAATTTCAGCCTGGGTGCAGTGGCGCTGTGGGAAGCTGAGGCAGGAGGACTGCTTGTAGCCAGGAGCTCGAGACCAGCCTGGGCAATGTGGCAAAACACTGTCTCTACAAAAATTTTAAAAAAATTAGCTGGCATGGTGGCATGTGCCTGTAGCCCCAG